CCTTCCAGATCTTTTTCTAGACGTATGAAAATGTCTACCTGTTATTTAAATTAGATATATTTTTAAATGACATTTTTATTTTTCAACTTTAAATATAAAAGTTGGCGAGAATGTTGATGATTAAATGACATAATGGCAGTGTCTAAAGAAAAGGATATTTCACATCTGTAAATTCTTTTTAAATTTTCAGACCCTTATGGAATATGGTAAACAGATATTTGAAGAAACCAGAAAATCTAACCATAATACACCAAAAAGAAAGGGTAATTGTTTTAAAAGTTTATTTTTTATTAAGTGCTGTTTTAAAATATAGTATAACAAAAAAGGAAAGATTAATTTGTAAGTTATTGGAAATGATTAACAGATACTCTTCAAGTCAAAATGTTCCTTTTATTATTTCAGGCATAATTCTGTTACTTTTATATATTTAATTTACATAGGATCAAGAAAGCCTAGTTTGGAGATTTTAGTAATAGAAAGATTGTTGTACACTAGAGACTAGACTTTGTTTTGTTACTAGTGCCATATTTACTCTGGTTTGTTCTGGTTGTGGAATCTAGCCATGAAAATATCACATTAATCCTTTAGGAAAATGTATCTCTACGTTTCTCAAGCACCAACTTGTAAACAAACTTATTAAAGCAGAACCTTTATAAACATTGGGAACTGTCCACCTAATTAATTAATTAGGTGTCGTGGAGTCAGTTCTGAATAACAGCAATGTTGTGTACAACAGAACAAAACACTGCCCAGTCCTTTGCCATCCTCAATAGTCGTTGTTGCCCTTGACCCCATCGTGCATCCACTGTGTCAGTCCATCTCACTGGGAGTCTTCCTCTTTTTTTGTTGATGCTCTACTTTAACATTACCACTTATCTGTCAGTTTGTCATATGGTGGTGGTTTGCATGTTGCTGTGAGGCTCGAGGCTATGCCTCTGATATTTCAAATACCAGCAGGGTCACCCATGTTGGATGGGTTTCAGCGGCGTTTCCAGACTCAGACTCAGAGGAAGGAAGGGGCCATCCACTTCTCAAAGAATTGGTCAGTGAAAACCTTATGAATAGCAGTCAAACACTGTCTGATATATTATTGGGAAACATTATGAATAGCCCTGCAACATTGTCCAATATAGTGCCAGAAGATGAACCCCTCAGGTCAGAAGGTACTCAAAACACGACTGGGAAAGAGCTGCCTCCTCAGAGTAAAGCTGACCTTAATGATGTGGATGGAGTGAGCTTTTGGGACCTCCATGTGCTATTAGTGGAGTAACTCAAAACGGGAAGAAGCAGCTGCAAACATCCATTAATGATTGGAACATGAAGTGTACGAAATATGAATCTAGGAAAATTGGAAGTTGACAAAAATGAAATGAATGCATAAAGATCAATATCCTAAGCATTAGTGAACTGAAATGGACCAGTTTTGGCCATTTTGAATCAGACAACCATATGATCTACTATGCTGGGAATGAGAGAGGGAAGAGGAATGGCATGGTGTTCATCATCACAAAGAATGTTCCAAGATCTATCCTGAAGTACTGTGCTGTCAGTGACAGGATAATATTGATATGCCTACAAGGAAGACCAATTAACACTACTATTATTCAAATGTATACATACCACCAATGACAAGGACGAGGAAATTGAAGATTTTTACCAACTTCTTTGGTCTGAAATTGACCAAATATCCAATCAAGATGTGTTGATTATTACTGGAGATTGGAAAGCAAAAGTTGGGAACAAAGAAGAATCACTGGTAGTTGGAAAATATGGCCTTGGTAATAGAAATGACATTGGAGATCACATGATAGAATTTTGCAAGTCCAATAGTTTATTCATTGCAGATACCTTTTTTTCAACAACATAAACAATAGCTATACATGTGGACTTCACCAGATGGAGTACACAGGAATCTGTGGAAAGAGGCTAAGGAGAAGCTCAATATCTTTGGCCAAAACAAGGCCAGGAGGTGACTGTGGAACAGGCCATCAACTGTTTATATGAAAGTTCAAATTCAAGCTGAAGACAATTAAAGCCCACAAGAGCCAAAATATGGCCTTGATTATATCCCTCCTGAATTTAGAATAGATTTGATTCATTGAACATCAGTAACCAAAAACAAGAGGAATTGTGGGGTGACATCAAGAACATCATGCATAAAGGAAGCAAAAGGTCATTAGAAAGGCAGGAAAGGAAGAACAGACAAAAATGGATATCAGAAGAGACTCTGAAACTTGCCCATGAATGGATAGTGGCTAAAACAAATGGAAGAAATGAAAAGATAAAAGAGTTGAACAGAAGATTTCAAAAAGCAGGTTGAGAGGACAAAGTCAGTTATTGTAATGAAATATACAAAGACCAGGAGTTAGATATCCAAAAGGAAAGAACATCCTCAGTATTTCTCAAGCTGAAAGAACTGAAGAGAAATTCAAACCTCGAGTTGGCAATATTTAAAGGTTCTATGAGCAAAATAGAACCGAGGGACAACTC